CAGCAGCAGAGGTTCCTCCACCGCCATCCCGGAGCAGGGAGGCTGAGGGAGCGCAGCGGCTGCCCGATCCGCCGCCAGCTGAGGGAGATAAGGGGAGCCGAGCAGAGCCCCTTCGTCCCAGTCCAGCTCCTCATCCTCGTCTTCCAGCAGCAGCAGCTCATCGTCGTCGTCCTCCTCCTCTTCATCCCCGGTGATCTGCACCTCCTGGATCTCGTCCCCCTCATCCTCTTCTTCCTCCTCCTCCTCCTCTTCTTCTTCCTCTTCTCCTGCGCTGCCAGGCTGCAGCCGGTGCTGGGCGCTCCGTGCCTGGACGTGCACGGGGTCGCTCTCCGCCGTGCCCGGGTTGCAGTCCCCGCTGCCAGGCATCCTCGCCATATTGCCTCTTTATCCCAGGCTCCCTGCTATGTATAGGAGGCTGTGCCGCCTCTCTCTTGTCTCTGCCAGTCCCCGGGCCCGGGCGCATGCGCTATATTGGACCGCGACTGGCTGCCTGTAATGACCTTCACAGACTGGAGGAGGGGGGGAGACGCCAGCTCGGTGCCCGGAGGGGGAGGGGCGGCCCTGGTGCCCGTGGGGAGGCAGCAGCGATCAGCAGCGCCTGTGTGCCAGCAGGTGATGTCTTCCTATGCTAGAGCCGCGATGTCTGCCCGATAAAGGTGGCACGGCTTATGTGCCAGGCGATGCCTTCCCCCTTACAAAACTGTGACATCCTACACAAGGACCGATCCAACACTACACACTTCCCTGGTACACGCCTGCGCCACGGCACAGAGAGCGATACCCACCTCCGATCATCACACCTTTCATTAAACTTGTGTCATAGTTTCTGCTGACAAGATCTCAGACATGGCTGGTCATACATGGCTATGATCCTGTGTTGGTCTGAGCTGCCCAGCATTAGAGATCATTATATTATACAGGATTGGCAGAACTCCTACACTTTGTACAACACTTTACAAAACACAGACATTCCACTTACAATCCAATACAAGAGGATCAGGAGGACCCTGGACAGGTGAGCTTACAATCTAAACGATTGTATGTATTTCCTGCGCCAGCAATCTGTTTTCACACTACATGTGCAGAGAATAGAAAGGTTCTTACTGAAGACTCTTTTTGTCTGATTCTTTTATTCAGACATTGGGGAAATGTATTGATCAGGCATGAGAGAGTTACATCGCTTTGTAAATACATTTCATTACCCAGAAAGCCATTTCTGATCAGGAGTTTTACCCTCATGGCAATCCTGAGTTACTTCCAAGGGTAGGGAGGGCAGCAGGGCCCCCCCAGAATGTACGAAAGGGTGATCATGTCTCAGCCCCCATTCACACCAGGGGGATGATTCATAAATCATTCACCCAGCCATACGCTGGGCGAATGTCATTTCTACAGCATTCCCACCACTCTCCATACTCCACCTAGTGGCAGGAATGCTGTACAAATGGCATTACCAGTTTTATATGGTAATATCCAGGCTTGCAAAGACAATTGGTGCACACAAGGTGGACATTTATCCTTTGTAGCTATGGAGGAAGTATATATATAGATATAGATATATATCTATATATATAAAGAGGTGCACCAAAATGCAAATTTCAAAACCACCACAAAAAAAGTCAGGCCGAAACCAAAATTATTTTATTTTAACATTTTTTTCAAATATTTTATTAATTTTTATAAACTTTTTAATTTTGTATATTGATTTTTATTTAATTTATTAAATATTCATATTTTTTACTTTACTTTTAGGGGCTTCGGGGAAATATTAGGGGTCTAAACAGACACATGATATTTCCCTTTTTTTTCCCTTTCCCCAAGAGATTGAGGACACAGCGTCCTCAATCTCTTTTTCTGCAGCCCATGTTATCAATGAACAGGAATCCTCTACACTGAGTGTTCCTGTTCATTCCTAACATGAGAACATAGTATGTTTACTATGAATGAACCGGAGGTGATGTAGATCACTTTGGTGATGGGAGGAGAGCTCAGCCTCCTGTGACAGCGCGGCCTGTCTCCGCCCACACACCGCTCTGTTGATCGGTGACAGGAGGCTGGGCGGTGTGGGAGGAGAGACGCCGGCCGCTTACAGCGCTCTCCTCCAGCAGGGCTTGGCTGGCTGTCACAGTTTCTCTCCTCCCGCTGGGACACAGAGCAGCGGGGGGAGAGAATACGCGCATGCACCGCTGTATCGGCCAGAAAATGGCACTTTCGGCATTTTGCCAAAAGTGCTATTTTTGGCCGATATGTTTGGGCGGCCAATATATCGGTGCATCCCATATATATATATATATGTATATAAAATTAAAAATGTACTCAAATTACAAAACATTTTTTAATTATTTTTTAACATTTTTTATAATTTAATTTTTTACTTTACTGTCAGGGGCTCTGGGAAATATCAGGGATCTAAACAGACCCCTGATATTTCCCTTTTAAAATAGAACAAGAGACTGAGGACACAGAGTCCTAAATCTTTTTTTCTGCAGCACTGGGGGTCCCTGGTTCAAAACCCAGCCAGATCACTATCTGCAAGGAGTTGCATTTTCTTCCTGGGCTTGCATGGGTTTCCTCCGGGTACTTCGGTTTCCTCCAACACTCCAAAGACATGCTGGAAGGTTAATTGGTTCCTGTCTAAATTGGCCCATGTATGTATGTATGTATGTGAGATAGGGACCATAGATTGTAAGCTCCTTGAGGGCAGGGGCTGATGTGATTGTGCAACTATGTAAAGCGCTGTGTAAATTGTGGGCGGTATATAAAGACCTGTAATAAAAAATACGTAGTATCAGTTACTATGTCAATAATCATGAATGAACAGAAAGTGATGTAGAGCACTTCCTGTTCATTCATAACTGGGGACACAGTAAGCATATTATGTCCTCAACTATTTACAAACAGCGATCAGTATTGATCATGGAGTGCTTGTAACCCGCTCTCGATCTTGACTCGATTGTCACAGGAGGCTGAGCTGGGCACTGCAGGAGGAGAGCTCGGCCTCTTGTGACTCCTGACAGGTTCTCGCCTCCCCGCTGACCGCTGGTCAGTGTCCTCTTGGATCCCTGCTGCCTCTGCCGACAGGGGAGAGCAACGGGGATCAGAGGGGGCACAGACCGGCGCCCAGCGGGGAGGAGGGAAGCACTGCATTTTCGGCCATTTTGGTACTATCGGCATTTTGTCCATTGTGCTATTTTCAGACGGAATGTTTTGGTGGCCGAAATTTCAGTGCATCCCTAAAATATATATGCATTTTTTTTGTGCCCAGAGTTCAGCTTTAGCGTATCTAAACTCAAGAAAAAAAATGCACAAGTCCCAAGATGTCTGTTCCTTTTATTTTTCCAGTAACACACTTCCTGTCCTGGTGTGACAACACTCACTGTACTATATGAGTGAGAAGCAGCATTGTCACACTTAATCTGGCTAAACACTGAGGGATTTTCATCCAGTTCTTGAAGAGCCGTCCACATTAATTTGCTGGGTGGCCCTATCTGCCAGCTCCTGCTCAACACCCGCAAATTGAAAAACAGAAGGAGTCGGGTGCAAACTTTTTACCTCTGCATTCCGTCAGATGCATTCACCGTTCAGGTATCTGTTCTTAATGTTATAAATTCTTTATTTTCACAGGACACAGCTGGATATCCACAGTCAGAGCAAAGATGTTACAAGGACAATGAGGTCCATACATCATTTCCAGAGCAGGCATCCATCTAGGACAATAAATCTGCTTCTAATAAACAGACCGAATGTGTGACAACAACTTCATTGTTCCAGGGAACAGGAGAAATAACCGTACACGTATCACCGCCCCGTCACCCGAGTCCAGCAGGGACCCAGGAGAAGAAAATGGTGGCAGTGACAATTATTTTATGTCACATGATATTAGAACCATTGTTTATCAAACCCATAATTTCAGCAATCAATACACTTCAATTCATTTTAGAGCGCACAAAAAGATGAGGTTGTGGCGAGTAAACAGATACAAAACACATCTGTGCACCTACGAAACTGCAAAAACTGTCCAGAGGCGACAGTTCACAAGCTTTTGCTGGTCATTATTATCATTTTGGAGTTTACTTTGCTGTCCGGAATTTCTTACTATTTGCACACACATGATAAAATCTGAGTTTGGGGCTAGAAAACAGCTTCAGACCCCCAAAAAATGATATATTTTCTGAAATTAGAGGCCCTGTAGAAGAAAAAAATGCTAGTTGCAAATTATTTTTGTCGTACAGTATTTGTGCAAATGTTTATGCAAACCAGTATTTTTAGGATACAATAAAAAAAAATGAAGTTTAGTGCACAGAAACAAAATATAATACACAATTGTTCGGTAAAATATAAAAGAAGGGGTCACATCGGGTAAATTGATACCAAACGTCAAGCCTTAAAATTGCGTGCGCCTTTGAAACCGCAAAAAAATACTATACCCAAAATTTCCTATAGGCAATGCTTTCAAAGCATCAGTTTAGTATTTACAGTGATTGATGGCTCTAGAAATATTTGTCTCACCCCGACGTTAGCAGCGATATGTAACGTGTGGCACAATTTTCGTTATTGCACTTAGGCACAATGGACGCGTGTTTGCATTTGTATATGTGTGTGCATGGGGGCGGGGAACTTTAAACATTTTTTTGCATTTTTATTTATTTTTTATACATTAAAAGTTATTGCTATTACATAAGGGGCTTACAAAGACACCGGGGGAATTTATCAAAACTGGAGCAGTTGTGCATGGCCATCAATCAGTCTCTCTTCAGTTTGTTTAGTTAAGATTTGAAAATGAGAGAGAGGCGCCCATTGGCTGCCATGCAGATTTTGTCTGCTACAGTTTTGATAAATTCCCTTCACAGAGTCCTCAATCTCTTTTTCTGCAACCCTCAGCACTTAAAGAACAGGAAGGTCCCAGTACAGAGGTTTCCTGTTTATGTATAGTCTGGAGATAGTAAATATTTACTATCAAATCAGTCATGAATGAACAGGAAGCCTCTGTACTGAGCTGCTTCCTGTTCATTCATAAAGCGAGCAGATAGTAATATGTCCACAATCATGAATGATCAGGAAGTGATGTATAGCACTTCCTGTTCATTCATAACTGGGAACATAGTAATCACTATGGGGGGAATTTATCAAAACTGGAGCAGCTGTGCACAGCAACCAATTAGCTTCTCTCTTTCATTTTAAAATCTTAACTAAACAAACCGAAGAAAGAAGCTGATTGGTTTCCATGGGCAACTGCTCCAGATTTTGTCTGCTCCTGTTTTGATAAATTCCCCCCTATCTGTTCAGTTATTTACAAACAATGAGCGATCAGTACTGATCGCTCAGTATTTTTGCTCCGCTCTCCATTCTGACTGCTCCCCACATTGCCCCGCTCAGCATCCTGACAGCTCTCATCCCCCCCACACTGCCTTTCTCAGCCTCCTGACAGCTTCTCTCCTCCCCGCTGGCAGCTGGATCGGCTCTGTGTCCCCTCCGTTCCCTGCTGCTTCTGCTGACACAGGCAGGTGAGAGCAGCAGGGATTGGTCTGAA